AATAACTAGTAACATAAAGAGTATGACAAGGGAAAATAACTAGTAACATCAAGAGTATGACAAGGGAAAATAACTAGTAACATAAAGAGTATGACAAGAGAAAATAACTAGTAACATAAAGAGTATGACAAGGGAAAATAACTAGTAACATCAAGAGTATGACAAGGGAAAATAACTGGTAACATCAAGAGTATGACAAGGGGAAATAACTAGTAACATCAAGAGTATGACAAGGGGAAATAACTAGTAACACCAAGAGTATGACAAGGGAAAATAACAAGTAACATCAAGAGTATGACAAGAGAAAATAACTGGTAACATCAAGTGTATGACAGGGGAAAATAACTGGTAACATCAAGTGTATGACAGGGGAAAATAACTGGTAACATCAAGAGTTTGACAAGAGAAAATATCTGGTAACATCAAGAGTACGACAAGGGAAAATAACAAGTAACATCAAGAGTTTGACAAGAGAAAATATCTGGTAACATCAAGAGTACGACAAGGGAAAATAACAAGTAACATCAAGAGTATGACAAGGGAAAATAACAGGTAACATCAAGAGTATGGCAAGGGAAAATAACAGGTAACATCAAGAGTATGGCAAGGGAAAATAACAGGTAACATCAAGAGTATGGCAAGGGAAAATAATTATGCTTACAGAGGTACAGGCAAATAAATATTGTGACTTATCACCGATGCAATAAATACATTTGTTATATTCGTCAATGAATGAGAGCTACTTACAATCATGTTAATTATATGTTTAAGAGTGTATTGAAGCAAAATCAGCTTCATAGAGAAGTTAACTCTATTGCATTTTAATATAAACAATTCAAGATCATTGTTATAAAATAATCTTAAGAACTTATTAACAAATAACAGACAACTAAGCGATACGCAACGATGACTTCAAAAAAGATAAACCAAAACAATCGACTTTTCGTAATCGTGGCGCCATCTAGAGGTAAAAATGGCATACGCGTCCTTGTGCGATAACATTCTACAACACAATCTACTTGTAAAATACGAAATGGGCAAGTTTAAAATGATATACGTAGAAATTCTGTTTCCAAGTTTGTTATCGAATTGGTATAAATAGCACTATATGTATATACTCATCTACTAAAATATACATGTAATATCCCTTTGCTGACTGATAAAAGTCGTTGAACGACTCACTGAAAGACAGGCAAGCTCTCAGAGGAAAAAATTATAACTGAACACTTAAAATTACCCAGTCACTGGGTCCCACAACAAACGTATGTTTTTATGAGACTTGATTGAAGTTAGCCTGCAATTTCTTTGTAAAGTCAGGCTTATTGTGGACTATACATGTAACGACATTTGTACTGAATCACAAGTTCTAAGAATTTGTAATATTTGTTTGTTTTTTTAATATTTTGCGCAAAGCTACACAAAAGCTTTATTGGAATAGCCGTCTTAATTTTGAACTGATAGACTAGAAGCAAGGATTCCCAACCTTTTTGTTCCTCCGTACCCCTTGGCCTTGGGCATTCTGACAGGTTCCCATGTACCCCTAAAAATTACGGATCAAAAATTGATAAAATTATATTGATTTTATATTATTTTATTATGAAATCTGTACGTGTGGACTGCATAAGGATCTTATAGTATTGATAACATGGATAAATTGAACTCAGCGTATATTTATGTGAGACACTTTGCTCTCTTTGTCTGACTGTAGATTAAAACACCATATAAAGTGTAAACCATGGTTATACTCTCAGACCCCTATGTACCCCCTGAGAAGTGCAAATGTACCCCAGGTTGGGAATGTCTGGACTAGAGTATACTAAACTTTACACGTTATATGGGCTACTATTATTCGTGATGTACGTTTGTTGAAGGATGGTTAATGAAATTGTTCCAAAACGTGACATTACTTTCTTGACCACCTAATACATTACATGGTCCTAGTATATTTTGTATATGTAAATACGTTTAGAACAGTGCACTAATAAGGTGGTTAGCTAGTGAGTTTAAAACTCCCATTCTTTCAAAAATGAACAATTTTCGTTAACACGATTGTTTCTACATTTGTTTAAAATGGTGCTTCAAGCAATAGACTGGAATTCAGATGTGTTTCATATTATCGTTCTTCATACTTCACGCTGTTCAAATAATATCCCTCACGATATCGTGTTTTCTTTGGAATTATTACTTGGTCAGTTAAAAGTTTGTAATCATACATTAAAAAAGGATTAAATTGAAACTGTACTGAAAATGTCATGACCAAATTAATTGCATCGTTTAAAGGTAATGACTATATTGATTTATTTTATGAAGAATTAAATAGCATTAAACACGAGTTTCGAGGCAATAACCATCTGCTGAACTTTGTTAATCATCTAATTAACAAGTTATGTTCTGTGTAACTCATGACCTGGACAGAAAATTAATAAAAACACAATAAACGAGAATACTTCACATTTCTATCAGTTTGTTTTCCGAGGGGATAGTGGATTAAAAACAGAAAAAAGTGGAGTTTACTCTTTTATTGTGTATTTATTGATTAATAAATTCATTAAGTATGTGACATTTCCATTGGTTCAATCTTTGGGTATACTAAATAACACTGTTACGTTGATCTTTCCGTGTAATGTGTATTATAGATTAAATATGAAGAAAATAATTTATGTACTTTGAAATATTTATAAAAAAATTAAAACTATATCCCTTATCAAACCCACATTAAGGTAAGACTTTTTTTTTAATTTAAGAACGTTATTCAAGCACTGTAGTAAATACAATTCACACTAATCAGGTAAAGATATCGTGTGTAACAGTAAATGACGCTCAACACCAATTAAAGATACTGTGTATAACAGTAGATGATACATTGTAACCAGATGAAAATACAATATCTAACAGTAGATGATGCACTTAAACCACATAAAAGTATTCTGTGTAACAGTAGATGATGCACATTAACCAGGTAAAAGTATTCTGTGTAACAGTAGATGATGCAACTTAACCAGGTAAATACATCCAGAGCAACAGTAGACGGTGCACATTAAACAGGTAAAAATATTATGTGTAACAGCAAATAAAATATACTAACCAGGTAAAGACATCGTGTGTAACAGTGGATGATGTATTAACCAGGTAAAATGATTTATGTAATAATTTATATCACCTAGTTTGAGATGTTTTTAGTAAGCTATTTTTTATGGCTTAAAAACCCAGAGATGACAAACTTCGATTCCTGCAAGAAGAACTACTGAAACTACACGCGATCAAAAGAGAAAATGGAACATATAAACTCATATTCTTTAACTTATTACTAGCTTAGAATTACAAATTCGTGCACTTTCACTACAACACCTAAGATATGTAAGCAATTCAAGATGTTAAATATATATATGTCTTACATGAGTTTATGGTATGCAACTTACAGAACATTTTTCTGTGATAGAGTAATGATGAATATTTGTAAAGAAAAAAGTTACATATTCTATTTGTATTATTAAAGTATGTTGGTTAGTTATAGTTATGTCATAGTTATCCGATGCCAAGATTGGCCGTTGGAATCAGTAACGGCTTTAAAAAAACGTTTTTTAATTCCTACATCATTCAGGTCGTTTAATTAAATCATTAACTAACATTAACTTACTACGATGTTAGAAATACAGTCTTCTAAACCAAACATTTAATCAAACAACTGTTTATCTTCTTTCTATAAACAGATCACACCAAGAATAAACACTTCCGAGTGATTAGTTTTTACTTTATTGTGTTTACGTTTAGACACTGGCAGATGTTTTACAAGCTGTTTAGTTTCTATAAACACTCATAGTTATTTAGTTTTTAATACTTGAGATGTTTATTATAAAGCGTTTAGTTGCAATAGAAATAAGACTCATTTTGTGAATACAAAGTTTTTTCAATATAATTCAAATTTTGCGGAGTGTCATAAAATATACAAATATATACCAAACATTAAATGTTGTAAAAATAACATACTGATGAATTTGAAGATAAACAACTTGGTTCCACGTGTAATTCAATGATAATCTTAAAAATTATATATGATTAATGAACTTACTCCTTTGAAAAAAATCTACATCAAACATACGGTTTCTTAAAGCAAAACCATCACATATGGGTAAACTATATGGGTAAACCATATGGGTAAACTATATGGGTAAACCATATGGGTAAACTATATGGGTAAACCATTGAATGATAAACGTCTTTACACTTTATAAGGCAAGCACCATTAACACACAGCCAATGAAGTTTTCACTTTTACGATCATTGAATGTCTTGTCTACAGTTACAGATCACTTACAGTATTGTTGTTGTTGTTCTGAACTACAAGGCGTCTTGGACAATCCATTTCTATTTCTGGTACTTCTAGTAAGTCTTCAAGTGGTCTGCCTACTTCCTTTAAAAACAAACACAAAATACTCGAAAATCCTTTCAAACGTGTACATAGGTAGAAGAAATATACGGTTGCTATAATAAAAGCAAGACAAATAAGAGATTTGGTTTCGTAGAAAAATTTAACATATTAAGAAATGCATTTATTAAGTGTATACGTAAAGCTAAATCAAGTATGACAGTCACAAGCAAACCATCTACAGATGATTTAATGATCTTAATCTTATTAGTTTTAGGCACTTGATGTATGTAATCGTACATTTTAAACTAACTTATGTATTATTTTAACGTTTTTTGTGCAAACAGAAGTTAGGAAAAAAGGCCCGACATCGCTGAGAAGAGAAGAACCTATATTTATACATCTTATATGCACCTGGACCTATGATTAAGACTAATGGGGGGTATACATGAATAAATGCATTAAGAGTGCAGCGGTTTGTCAAAGTTCCATAACATTTATGATTCTACCTATCCTATCACTCTTATGATGGGACATCAGAAACATCTACATCATATTTACTTTCATGTAATAAGATGTCCTGCAAGTTTTAAACTTCACTGCAATTGTTTTTTTAATGCAACTCACTGTGCTTTTATAGCGCGAAAATAGATAATTTAAATGTAAAACCAATCTTACGATATATTTTACACGTATTTACTGAACTGATAATATTATAAATAAAGTCTTAAGGCTTATAATAAATAACTCAATAGATTATGAAACTGTTAAGCTATGCTTTGAAAGTGTATGATTTATGACACTCTTAAGCTATGCTTTGAAACTATGTGATTTATGACACTCTTAAGCTATACTTTGAAACTGTGTGATACTTTGAAACTGTGTGATTTATGACACTTTTAAACTATGCTTTGAAACTATATAACTTATGAAATTATCAGATTAGGCTTTGAAAAATCAGTAATAAGCTTTAAGTAAAGGACTTTTTTATTTGCTGGATTCATTAAATTTTCCATGGGTTACGAATGTACAGGCTATACAAAAACTATTTGTGTTTATTTTTTATTATATTTTTACTGTGACTAGAAACTAAACTGCTATTAAATGGTTATTAGTCATCATGGTAAATTAAGTAGTTTTGAAATGTCTATAGCTCTAGGAAAACTTTTAAACACAAAATACGGAGTCAATAATAGTTCCATGTGCATTTTTGTCTTGCTTTTCTACACATCAACTATTTTTATTAGAAAACACGAGCCCACAGTTTTCATCCTATAGATATTATCTGATATTGTCGTGACCCGTGTATTAAGAAGACTTGTCTGAGTTATAAAATTCGAAGCTCTAAAACATTTGTTGTCGACTTATGTTTTTCATTAGATCGAAAGTTATATAGCGTTTTCGATATTTTGAGTTTTGTGTATCTTTGCATAAAATTATATTTTTTATATTACATGAAAAACACTGGAAGTAATGATCGTAGACATGAAAATATACCGTAATGTCAGGTAATGAATCAAGATCTCTGTCTTCATGGCAACCAGCTGTGTTCTCAAGTAGAAATTATTTGATTTGATATATATGGACAGTTAATTTTCTTGTCTTCCATATACGTACATTTGTCTGAAGAAATCTTTAATTAAAAATATAGAGAATGTTATTAATACATGAACGTTGCTTGTTTAGATTGTTCAAGCTTAACTAAACATGCTAGATTAAAAATTCTCCATAATGGCAAATAACCATCCAAAACGCTATTCGTTTAATGTTTTTACACCAATCAGTGGAGTTAGTCTTAATTGTATGCTATTTTGTGAGATTTATTCAAATATTCATTGATTTCACCAATATAATATCGTTTTAGTGTCCAAAGTTTGCATCTTTTATTTTATTTTTAACACAGAAAGAAATCCGAAGTATTTAAATTCATCTTACTTATATTTTACATAGTTATTTCGTGCTGAAACATTTTGAACTCATAGGAACGGCGACAAACTGTTACATTATATGTACGAAACGAACGTGAAGGATTTTACCCATAACATGTGTGTCGCTTTCCCAGTTAATTATAATTCAAGTTGATAAACATAAATAGAAATACTAGATATATACTAAAGAAAATGTTTAAGGGAATGAAATTAGAGAAAAGTTTGACGGAGTTTTGTAATTATTTGAAAATAAATCTTTCGTTTAAACCATAAGCGGATTTGGTATTTAGTTGGAAGATAGGACAATGTTCAAGGCTTTCTCATGTTAACACAGTCTAATCTTCCAACTCAACACCATTTCATTCCTTTATACCTTTTCTTTAGATGCGTTTACCTTACCTCTTACTACTGGTTAAATCTCTCTCTCTTCAACCTAACCTACGTGAATGTCTTTTTCTTTCCATTATTATCTCCCTGGATTATCATTTTATTTTACTAGGCTATTATTTTATTATCTTGCAAGTTCATGTTTATGATTTTTCTGTGTTTATATTTCTAAATCCAATTTTAATTCTTCTAATTATTTGTTTTCCATATTCCTGCTAAATTGAATAATATTTATATAATAAGTTCAACAATGTTTTTATCAGTACTTTTGTCACTGTGCTCCACGTTGATCGCGTGTAATTAGAATATTTGTATTATTTTACCTTTTAACAGTTATTTCGTAACCTAATTCCATTGTAACACGGTCTTTACTGCCTGACGAAGAGCGTCAATTTATTCTAGATAAACGCATGTTGAGAGACGGAAAGTTGCTATTTATCTTAAGTATATAGTGGAGGATGAGAATCTGTGAGATGGTGATGAGCTTCAAATCGACAAATCTAAGCTTTCCCACTTTTCCTTACCTTATAAGTTTGTTCTTATTGTGGTAACTTATCTGTTTCCTCTTAGTATTATTACAACTTAGAGTCTTACGCCAATCTGACTTTGGATAGAATGCAATGTCAGTCAGCCTTCTAAATCTGACTGTCGCTAGGCAACGGATAAAGGATATTATGACGTTTTCTCTCGAAACAGGAAATTAGATATTATTGGGAATCTACTTAAAATTTATATTCAGCTCATATGTAGAATGTTGCGGAGAGATGAGGTTATCTAATCGTGTGATAATGCTTATAATCAGTATGATCGTATTGTGAATAAACATATTTATTATGTGCATTCTGTCATTATGATAAAACTAGTTCCTATCACACACATATGTGAATCATAAAAAAAACGTACGAAGTATAATTTATCTTTCTCGTTACGCACTGTGAATTCTTTGAAAACTTTTAAGCACTGTTAATGCAGGCCTAATTTTAAACAACTCAGTTCCACTCAATGATGTAATCCTGTAAATATTGACTTCATGTTTAACAAACTTAGATTCTTAAGCGGATTAACCTCAAACCTGAAACTATAGAAATGTGAAAATAATTTAAACACTTTTGATGACAATTGAAAGTGTCTTATTTTTGTACAGTTCTTAAATCATTTTAAACTTTTATCTTAAAAACGGTTAAAGTCATATTACATTTAATCTACCAGTTTTGTATTAGACCTAAAGAACGCGCTAAAAGTTTGCGTCCTCACATAAAACTAAGAAAAATTCATAATAATAATAATATTGTATCAACGTCGATTTAACTTAGTGAAACAATTAATGAGGAACAAATTTTCATTAGCAGTGGCTTAGATCAAATGTCATGTTCATGATGAGATTAAAATTTTTTCCTTCACCAAGTATA